GATAGGGATAAGATCATGGACCCACTTTAACGCACAGAACGCAGACAAAACGACAGCATAGGATCTTTTAGTTTCATGAAGATAAGACAAGTATTCTGAGACGAGTAAACTAACGCAAGGCAGGACTAATTTCACGCCTCTGGACCTAAGGTACACGGAGAAATACCTATACTGGGTAACATTTTTTAACGGAAGAATTGGCTTTAGAAGCCAAAACTTGCTGCACGATTGTACGTCTTCTGTCCCTACACGTCAGTCCCCAAGAGGAGGCTTCTATCAAATCCTAAGGAAAACAAAAGTACTAAGAAATAATGTGAGGTGGGGGAGGGGGGGGGACAGTAAACAAATCCCTAGCCCAGCAAAATACTCATAGCCACCCGGCTCAAGTTCGCTGCCATCCGGCTCGAACAAACCTGCCAACCGGCTACAAAAACGTGTAAGCTGGCAACCGGCATGAAATACAAGAACACTCAGTGCCAACGGCTTAAGAAGTACTGGTCTATAGATCCGAGATCTGCAATAGTGGGTTCACAGTACAAGAAGCCCTCGCCATGAGACACTCTAAACAAGGTCAGTTTGGAGTGTTACTAACAGCGCTCCGATAAAATTGAAGTTTTACAGCAAGGATTAAGCCGTCCCAGGAGGCTGAACCTAAAAGCGAGTTCGTATTACAACCTTGACGCAATGCTAACCGACCCTCAAAAAATTGAATAATCGACAACGAAGTCCCAAAACTTACGAACCAACAAAGGCCAGAAAGGTGCAGACGACCAGTAAGGTACCACTTATGTCCCCCTGACATTGCATCGAAACATGAAAATGAGGAATTTTGACAAGAATACGACCGGTGGCACAACTAAGCAATTTTCGTGTTGCCAGTCTTGGAAAAACGCGTCAACTCCCGCTGTCCCAGGATTCCAGAATCTTGAAAAATATTTCGAGACCTTCTTGTTGTAGTGGGTGGCAAAGCAATCAATCGTAAATGGCCCCCAAAACACGTCCAGCTGCCGAAAGAACCCGGGGGCAAGCTCCCAATCGTCATAATCCACAATCTTGCTGAGGAAATCTGCTTTTTCATTAAGTGTCCATGGCACCCACTCAAGGTCTAAATAAATTCCAACCTTGAAACAAAACGAAAAAATGTCGCAAGCTAACTTATGCAGATTGAAATTTATGCTGCCAACTTGCACGATCCTAGCCGCCCCTTGGCTATCGGTAAACCACTTAACCCTAGAGTTAGGAAGGAACGAACTAAACGAACTAAGAACAAACTGAACAGCTCGAAGTAAGTAGGGCTCTCCTGGCGTTCTGCTTCTATAAACATCCTGTGAGCGTGCACATCTACCCCATCAATGTGACCTGCGCAGGCTATATTACTAGCATCCGAGTAAATGGATAAGAAAGGGAATGCCAAATCCGATACAGATTTGGAGTTAACAGAGCGAAGATTAGCCTTCCAAAACTGAAGCTCTACCATGCAATACCTATCAAGAGCAAACACACTGCCCCAGTCTTGGGCAGTCGCTACAGACGTCTGACAATGCCTGGTCATAATCCGGCTAAGATTCCCTAGAA